AACGTGTTTTTTACGAGTTGTCTTTTTACGAGTTGTCTTTTTACGAGTTGTCTTCGTTTACCCAAAAAAAGTGAAAAGATAAAATCGATAGCAAGATTTTAATGCAAACAAACAGACAAAGACTAAAAAGTAGAAAATAATAATCATTAAAAAAGTTTTAAAAAACCCACGTTTTCTGATTGAACTAAAAAGTAGAAAATAAATGCTATAGGCCCTACATCACAATAATGCAAGCGATCACTCTACTATAAGCGAGCAAAAACGTGGGGCGCCGTGATTTTCTTACAGTTTCTAATACTGTTGACTCTCTACAAGCTCCCTAATAAAAGTCAATAGTATTATCTAATCAATAGTAATATAACTTTTACTTCGGCGCCCCACGTTTTTCATCGCTTATAGTAGAGTGATCGCTTGCATTATTGTGATGTAGGGCCTATAGCATTTATTTTCTACTTTTTAGTTCAATCAGAAAACGTGGGTTTTTTAAAACTTTTTTAATGATTATTATTTATTTGGCGCTCATTTGGTGTGCAATTAATTTGTCCACGAGATTTTATTCTATTTTTAAAACTTTAAGTATTTAAAATGGATTTAAAATCATGTCTATAGCCCGAGTTCCCATCCCCTGTTATTTTATATAAGAATATTCGAGAAAGTTTAGGGGAGATCACTCTCGGTTTATTTTTTTATTAGCTTGAGTTGAATTTCCCTGGCATAACAATTAAATACATTAATTAATTAGTTGTTTCGACAATACTGTTATTAAAATGTATCCACTTTTTCAAGGAATCTAAGCGAAAATATTGTTTTATATTGATCCGTTTAATATGTTTTAGCAATGTGCGTGTATTAAATATTTTCTTTACGTTATGCGAAAGAGTAAAAACTGTAGCAACTATAAAATAAATTTCAGTTGTTATATAAACAAACCCTACTATATATATGTTACGGTCAAAGCCCGAAGTGCGGCCAATGCTAGGATTGGCCGGCCAATCCGCGCATTGGCCGGCTCTCTTGGCCAAAGCCCGAAGAACGTAGCACTAAGATCGTATTTCGTACATTGGCCGGCCAATGCGCGCACTGGCCAGGACGTACTGGCCAAAGTCCGAAGCGCTTAAACTTGACAGCGTATTTTGTACATTGGCCGGCCAATGCGCGCACTGGCCGGGATGTCCTGGCCAAAGGTCTATCTAGACTAAGTTTTGATCGCATTTTCATTATTCTGGGTGTGTTTTCACTGAGAGTAACGTATTGTTCAGCTCTTGTTTGTATAGCATTTTATATGCTAGGCGACATGGATCAAAAGGGCAGTCAGACCATGAGACAGACATAGCAGATGGCTGTCAAAAGAAAAAAATTAAATCCATGTTAGTTTCCATATATGGGCTCTCGATAAAATTATTACTGAGGAAGATCTTGAGAACATTGAACAAGAAATGGAGGTTGCCATAAATGCAGCGACATCCTCAGCGAACACATCTACTGCCGTGGCGGAACGTCCAGACCAGTTGCGTGACAATAATGTGGCCAACAGATTCTATATAGTTTGTGAAAAACATTGTAGTGCAGCTCATTCTTTTGGATCCTGTGGCAACGATGTCCATGCTATTTGTGGAATACCCAATGAAGCAGACGAAGGGTACGGAGGGAACATTACCTGCAGATTGTGTCACAACAAACAAGACATCATGGAACACAGATCAGCAGCTCATACTGGCTTGCAAACTCAAGGTGCTAAAATGCTTAAAACATCAAATACAAAATTTAAAGATGGTGAAGTGGATGACAATGTACGCATTCGTTTTCCAGATGTTGACAGAGGTCACGGTGATCCGCGAAGCGTGATTGCAGTTGTCATGAGCGTCGAGGGCGGTTTCTACAAATTAGGAACGGAACATGGTGTTCTAAAACAACTGTATGCTAGAAGTGAGTTTTCAATTCTTCACGAAAAACTGCTCTTATTGTCATCAGTTCGCACTGAGGAAAAATCACTACGAACCATCGCATCTTCACAATCATTGAATGGGGGCCAAGGCTACACTCGCTGCAATTGCACAACTAAGTGCACAACAAATCGCTGCAAGTGTAAAAATAACAAACTGCTAAATGCCATAAAAGTTCAACTTGTTGTAACAAATGATGATATTGATAGATTGAAACTATAGTACAATAAAAAATGTGTATGTTTTTATGTCATTTACTTTAATTAATAATCAATTAGACTTAATTTCATGATCCTTACGGCAAAAAAACCCCAAAATCTGCTCATGATCTTCTAATTCGGACTTTGGCCGGTCATCCCTAGCCAGATGATCTTCTAATTAAGACTTTGGCCGGTCCACCATGGCCAGTCCGCGGACTGGCCGGCCAAAGGCCGAAATCAAGATCTATTTCAGCAAAATCAAGCAAAGTTTCGGACTTTGACCGACCTATGGGAGGCGATATTGGCCAATGCGCGGATTGGCCGGCCAATCCTAGCATTGGCCGACTTCGGGCTTTGACCGTAACATATATACAATTCTCTTCATGTAGACCATAGAAAACACCACGCAGCTTTGCCACCACCCTCATCCCCACCTGTCAGGTGAGCTGAAGTTCACCCCGAATGTTGACAATAGTAGAGCCCGTTCGGCAATTAGGGGCAGATAATTTAGTTTTTAAACGATTTGAAACTAAGGAGAGATAATAAATTCTGCTTGATATTTTCATTGTCGTCTGTAAACGGCTGCTTTCACTGGGCGGGGTGGGGTGAATTGGGAGGCAGGGGGTGGGGTAGTGTCGAATTCACAAATTATGAATTGTTGATAAGAAGAAAATAAAACAACTAGATAACGGCGTATGCTACGTCGCGGGTCAGCTCGTTACTTATAATCAGACAATGCGATGTAATGTTAAAGCACTGCATGGTGCGATGTTTACTTTTATGGTTCCAAAATCTATAGCGATGACTGACGGACTGACACACTACCAGCAGCGTTATATTATAGATTCCGTCAATATAATTGAAACGGTACTCAAGTTATCGCAGTAACAGACAGACAGACAAACACACACGGACAAAATAGAAAAGCCTAGTTTTTCAGACTCGATTACACGTAAAACGCCGAGATTTTGATAAATACTGAGGTGTAAAGCGTTAAAGAGTGTCAAAATATCATGTGATTTTTGTGCACGATTACAATACTTCCTCTATACTAATGTGATTTTTGTGCACGATTACAATACTTCCTCTATACTCATGTGATTTTTGTGGACGATTACAATACTTCCTCTATACTCATGTGATTTTTGTGCACGATTACAATACTTCCTATATACTCATGTGTTTTTTGTGCACGATTACAATACTTCCTCTATACTCATGTGATTATTGTGCACGATTACAATACTTCCTCTATACTCATGTGTTTTTGTTATGCACAATTACAATACTTCCTCTATACTCATGTGATTATTGTGCACGATTACAATACTTCCTCTATACTCATGTGGTTTTTGTGCACGATTACAATACTTCCTCTATACTCATGTGATTATTGTGCACGATTACAATACTTCTTCTATACTCATGTGTTTTTTTTTATGCACAATTACAATACTTCCTCTATACTCATGTGATTATTGTGCACGATTACAATACTTCCTCTATACTCATGTGTTTTTGTTATGCACAATTACAATACTTCCTCTATACTCATGTGATTATTGTGCACGATTACAATACTTCCTCTATACTCATGTGGTTTTTGTTCACGATTACAATACTTCCTCTATACTCATGTGATTATTGTGCACGATTACAATACTTCTTCTATACTCATGTGTTTTTTTTTATGCACAATTACAATACTTCCTCTATACTCATGTGGTTTTTGTGCACGATTACAATACTTCCTCTATACTCATGTGGTTTTTGTGCACGATTACAATACTTCCTCTATACTCATGTGGTTTTTGTGCACGCTTACAATACTTTTTCTATACTCATGTGATTTTTGTGCGCGATTACAATACTTCCTCTATACTCATGTGATTTTTGTGCACGATTACAATACTTCCTCTATACTCATGTGATTTTTGTGCACGATTACAATACTTCCTCTATACTCATGTGATTTTTGTGCACGATTACAATACTTCCTCTATACTCATGTGATTTTTGTGCACGATTACAATATTTCCTCTATACTCATGTGATTTTTGTGCACAATACTTCCTCTATACTCTGTATACGAGAAAGTAAAAAGTGAGCTGATCTTACTTGTTACTTGAACTAATTATATGAACTGGGTAAACTCATTGGTCAACAACACCAAAGGTTGATTAGCTTTGAGATGAAGAAAAGATTAACTAAATTAATTAATCATCAGTAATTAATTCTTGTTGGACGATCTGCTCGAAGGACGGGCAATCAGGCAATCTTCTAATGATGGGCCTTCGTCTTGAGTACCTGGCAAGCTGTCGGTCATGTTGCGTGCGGTCACGTGACGGGGCAAGATGGCCGTCACCAGGAAACAAAGGTTGGGATAGCCGTAAGGGTGAGAAGTCATGCCGACACGTAGATGGTTCAGCCAGTTAACTCCCTCTCTCATTTATTTTTCAACTGCTGGCCAATCAGACGGCAGATGTGTCAACACTTCTTATTATAGACAGGGACTTCTAAAAGAAATGTCTAATTAATTTATGCCAATGGAGATTAATTAAGACAAACCAGGAGTTTTTCGCTTTATATTCTGAATGTGCGTGAGTCAGCGTCATAGCTTTATATTCTGAATATGTGTAAGCCAGCGTCATAGCTTTATATTCTGAATATGTGAAAGTCAGCGTCATAGCTTTATATTCTGAATGTGTTAGCGTCATAGCTTTATATTCTGAATGTGTTAGTCAGCGTCATAGCTTTATATTCTGAATGTGTGAGTCAGCGTCATAGCTTTATATTCTGAATGTGTGAGTCAGCGTCATAGCTTTATATTCTGAATGTGTGAGTCAGCGTCATAGCTTTATATTCTGAATGTGTGAGTCAGCGTCATAGCTTTATATTCTGAATATGTGAAAGTCAGCGTCATAGCTTTATATTCTGAATGTGTTAGCGTCATAGCTTTATATTCTGAATATGTGAAAGTCAGCGTCATAGCTTTATATTCTGAATGTGTTAGCGTCATAGCTTTATATTCTGAATATGTGTAAGCCAGCGTCATAGCTTTATATTCTGAATATGTGAAAGTCAGCGTCATAGCTTTATATTCTGAATGTGTTAGTCAGCGTCATAGCTTTCAGAATGACCTGTTTCCGGAGCCAGAATCAGAGACAAAAAATTTGAGAACTTATCGACCCCATCTTGACAACATGGTGACCGGCCTTTATGTAGTCATTGTACTAACCACCTACTGACCACCTACTGACCACCTGCTGACCACCTACTGACCACCTACTAACCACCTGCTGATCCCCAACTAACCACCTACTGACCACCTACTGACCACCTACTGACCACCTACTGACCACCTACTGACCACCTACTGATCCCCAACTAACCACCTACTGACCACCTGCTGACCACCTACTGACCACCTACTGACCACCTACTGACCACCTACTGACCACCTACTGACCACCTACTGACCACCTACTAACCACCTGCTGATCCCCAACTAACCACCTACTGACCACCTACTGACCACCTACTGACCACCTACTGACCACCTACTGACCACCTACTGATCCCCAACTAACCACCTACTGACCACCTGCTGATCCCCAACTAACCACCTACTGACCACCTACTGACCACCTACTAACCACCAGCTAACCACCTGCTAACCACCTACTGACCACCTGCTGATCCCCAACTAACCACCTACTAACCACCTGCTAACCACCTGCTGACCACCTACTGACCACCTGCTGATCCCCAACTAACCACCTACTAACCACCTGCTAACCACCTGCTAACCACCTACTGACCACCTACTGACCACCTGCTGATCCCCAACTAACCACCTACTAACCACCTGCTGACCACCTACTGACCACCTGCTGATCCCCAACTAACCACCTACTGACCACCTGCTGATGCCCAACTAACCACCTACTAACCACCTGCTGACCACCTGCTGACCACCTACTGACCACCTACTAACCACCTGCTAACCACCTGCTAACCGCCTACTGACCACCTACTGACCACCTACTAACCACCTACTGACCACCTACTGACCACCTGCTAACCACCTACTAACCACCTGCTGACCACCTACTGACTACCTGCTAACCACCTACTAACCACCTACTGACTACCTGCTAACCACCTGCTAACCATCTGCTAACCACCTGCTGACCACCTGCTAACCACCTGCTAACCACCTACTGACTACCTGCTAACCACCTGCTAACCACCTGATAACCACCTGCTGACCACCTGCTAACCACCTGCTAACCACCTACTAACCACCTGCTAACAACCTACTGACCACCTGCTGATCCCCAACCGACCACCTGCTGATCCCCAACTGACCACCTCCTGACCACCTGCTAACCACCTGCTAACCACCTGCTAACCACCTACTAACCACCTGCTAACCACCTACTGACCACCTGCTGACCACCTATTGACCACCTGCTGATCCCCAACCGACCACCTGCTAACCACCTGCTAACCACCTGCTAACCACCTACTAACCACCTACTGACTACCTGCTAACCACCTGCTAAACACCTACTGACCACCTGCTAACCACCTACTGACTACCTACTGACCACCTACTGACTACCTGCTGACCATCTGCTGATCACCAACTGACCACCTGCTGACCACCTGCTAACCACCTACCGACCACCTACAGACCACCTGCTGACTACCTGCTAACCACCTACTGACCACCTACTGACCACCTGCTGATCCCCAACTGACCACCTGCTAACCAACTGCTAACCACCTTCTGACCACCTACAGACCACCTGCTGACCACCGGCTGATCCCCAACTGACCACCTGCCGATCCCCAACTGACCACCTGCTGATCCCCAACTGACCACCTGCCGATCCCCAACTGACCACCTGCTGATCCCCAACTGACCACCTGCTGATCCCCAACTGACCACCTGCCGATCCCCAACTGACCACCTGCTGATCCCCAACTGACCACCTGCCGATCCCCAACTGACCACCTGCTGATCCCCAACTGACCACCTGCTGATCCCCAACCGACCACCTGCTGACCACCTGCTGATCCCCAACTGACCACCTGCTGATCCCCAACTGACCACCTGCCGATCCCCAACTGACCACCTGCTGATCCCCAACTGACCACCTGCTGATCCCCAACTGACCACCTGCTGATCCCCAACTGACCACCTGCTGATCCCCAACTGACCACCTGCTGATCCCCAACCGACCACCTGCTGACCACCTGCTGATCCCCAACTGACCACCTGCTAACCAATTGCTAACCACCTACTGACCACGTACAGACCACCTGCTGACCACCTGCTGATCCCCAACTGACCACCTGCTGATCCCCAACTGACCACCTGCTGATCCCCAACTGACCACCTGCTGTTCCCCAACTGACCACCTGCTGATCCCCAACTGACCACCTGCTGATCCCCAACTGACCACCTGCTGATCCCCAACTGACCACCTGCTGATCCCCAACTGACCACCTGCTAACCACCTATTGACCACCTACAGACCACCTGCTGACCACCTGCTGATCCCCAACTGACCACCTGCTGATCCCCAACTGACCACCTGCTGATCCCCAACTGACCACCTGCTGACCACCTCGACCTTTCTTTAGACATGGTACTGTCGCGGAACTTTTCCCAATTACTAGTGCGTGTAATCCTTCCTAAAGAGACCGTCTGCCATTGGCTGCTTTGAGTCAATCAATCAAGCTGAGCCGGCAGCCAAGGTTTACCGTTCAATCTACTGCTCCAGTTAATTAATACATTTCGGAAATTCCCTTTCCTTTTAATTAAGACTACAGGGGATAAAAAATATTGGATCGGGAACTGGATAACGTGACGTCATAGGGAGCAAATAGATATTATGACGTCATAGATAACATGAAGTCATGAAAAGACCTGTACCAGATAAAAGTTTATGTTTATGTTTAGAGTGAACGTTGTATGACAATCAATGCCTGGCCAAACGAGCGAGATCAATTGATCATAACATTTCAAAGGCGTTTTAATATTTCGCTCAGTATCTGTAGTAAGAGACGGTAAAGTGTTCTGTGCCACATGATGTGTTCTGTGCCACCTCAGGTGTTCTGTGTCACCTGAGTTCTGTGCCACCTGAGTTCTGTGCCACCTGATGTGTTCTGTGCCACCTGATGTGTTCTGTGCCACCTGTGTTCTGTGCCACCTGAGTTCTGTGCCACCTGATGTGTTCTGTGCCACCTGTGTTCTGTGCCACCTGAGTTCTGTGCCACCTGATGTGTTCTGTGCCACCTGATGTGTTCTGTGCCACCTCAGGTGTTCTGTGTCACCTGAGTTCTGTGCCACCTGATGTGTTCTGTGTCACCTGATGTGTTCTGTGCCACCTGTGTTCTGTGCCACCTGATGTGTTCTGTGTCACCTGATGTGTTCTGTGCCACCTGTGTTCTGTGCCACCTGAGTTCTGTGCCACCTGATGTGTTCTGTGCCACCTGATGTGTTCTGTGCCACCTCAGGTGTTCTGTGTCACCTGAGTTCTGTGCCACCTGATGTGTTCTGTGCCACCTGATGTGTTCTGTGCCACCTCAGGTGTTCTGTGCCACCTGATGTGTTCTGTGCCACATCAGGTGTTCTGTGCCACCTTAGGTGTTCTGTGCCACCTGTGTTCTGTGCCACCTGAGTTCTGTGTCACCTGATGTGTTCTGTGCCACCTGATGTGTTCTGTGCCACCTGTGTTCTGTGCCACCTGAGTTCTGTGCCACCTGATGTGTTCTGTGCCACCTGTGTTCTGTGCCACCTGAGTTCTGTGCCACCTGATGTGTTCTGTGCCACCTGTGTTCTGTGCCACCTGAGTTCTGTGCCACCTGATGTGTTCTGTGCCACCTGATGTGTTCTGTGCCACCTCAGGTGTTCTGTGTCACCTGAGTTCTGTGCCACCTGATGTGTTCTGTGTCACCTGATGTGTTCTGTGCCACCTGTGTTCTGTGCCACCTGAGTTCTGTGCCACCTGATGTGTTCTGTGCCACCTGATGTGTTCTGTGCCACCTCAGGTGTTCTGTGTCACCTGAGTTCTGTGCCACCTGATGTGTTCTGTGCCACCTGATGTGTTCTGTGCCACCTCAGGTGTTCTGTGCCACCTGATGTGTTCTGTGCCACCTTAGGTGTTCTGTGCCACCTTAGGTGTTCTGTGCCACCTGTGTTCTGTGCCACCTGAGTTCTGTGTCACCTGATGTGTTCTGTGCGACCTGATGTGTTCTGTGCCTCTTGAGTTCTGTGCCACCTGAGTTCTGTGCCACCTGAGTTCTGTGCCACCTGAGTTCTGTGCCACCTGAGTTCTGTGCCACCTGAGTTCTGTGCCACCTGAGTTCTGTGCCACCTGATGTGTTCTGTGCCACATTATGTGTTCTGTACCACCTGATGTGTTCTGTGCCACCTGATGTGTTCTGTGCCACCTGATGTGTTCTGTGTCACCTGAGTTCTGTGCCACCTGAGGTGTTCTGTGCCACCTGAGGTGTTCTGTGCCACCTGATGTGTTCTGTGCCGCTTTGGTGTTCTGTGCCACCTGATGTGTTCTGTGCCACCTCAGGTGTTCTGTGCCACCTGTGTTCTGTGCCACCTGATGTGTTCTGTGCCACCTTAGGTGTTCTGTGCCACCTGATGTGTTCAGTGCCACATCAGGTGTTCTGTGTCACCTGATGTGTTCTGTGCCACCTGATGTGTTCTGTGCCACCTGATGTGTTCTGTGCCACCTGATGTGTTCTGTGTCACCTGAGTTCTGTGCCACCTGAGGTGTTCTGTGCCACCTGATGTGTTCTGTGCCACCTGATGTGTTCTGTGCCACCTGATGTGTTCTGTGCCACCTTAGGTGTTCTGTGCCACCTGATGTGTTCTGTGCCACCTGTGTTCTGTGCCACCTGTGTTCTGTGCCACCTGTGTTCTGTGCCACATGATGTGTTCTGTGCCACCTGATGTGTTCTGTGCCACCTGATGTGTTCTGTGCCACCTTAGGTGTTCTGTGCCACCTGATGTGTTCTGTGCCACCTGTGTTCTGTGCCACCTGAGTTCTGTGCCACCTGATGTGTTCTGTGCCACCTGTGTTCTGTGCCACCTGAGTTCTGTGCCACCTGAGTTCTTTGCCACCTGATGTGTTCTGTGCCACCTGATGTGTTCTGTGCCACCTGTGTTCTGTGCCACCTGATGTGTTCTGTGCCACCTGATGTGTTCTGTGCCACCTGATGTGTTCTGTGCCACCTGTGTTCTGTGCCACCTGATGTGTTCTGTGCCACCTGATGTGTTCTGTGCCACCTGATGTGTTGTGTGCCACCTGATGTGTTCTGTGCCACCTGATGTGTTCTGTGCCACCTGATGTGTTCTGTGCTACCTGTGTTCTGTGCCACCTGTGTTCTGTGCCACCTGTGTTCTGTGCCACCTGATGTATTCTGTGCCACCTGATGTGTTCTGTGCCACCTGTGTTCTGTGCCACCTGATGTGTTCTGTGCCACATGATGTGTTCTGTGCCACCTGATGTGTTCTGTGCCACCTGATGTGTTCTGTGCCACCTGATGTGTTCTGTGCCACCTGATGTGTTCTGTGCCACCTGATGTGTTCTGTGCCACCTGTGTTCTGTGCCACCTGTGTTCTGTGCCACCTGATGTGTTCTGTGCCACCTGAGGTGTTCTGTGGCACCTGAACATTCCATCCATATCAAATTCTGATTATTTCGAGCCATTTTTGCAAAAAATTGTTTTGAATCCTAGTACAATTGTTTTAGACTTAATTAGAAATTGACTACTACATTTGCAAAGTATTTTCTTTGAAACTAAACCAAACCTAACCTAACCTAACCTAACCCAACCAAAGCTAACCTAACCTAACCTAACCTAACCAAAGCTAACCTAACCTAACCTAACCTAACCTAAGCAAAGCTAAGCTAAGCTAACCTAAGCTAAGCTAAGCTAAGCTAACCTAAGCTAACCTAACCTAACCTCACTCCTTACATTTTCTGAGACCTTCTCTAACCTCACTCCTTACATTCTCTGAGACCTTCTCTAACCGTCACTCCTTACATTCTCTGAGACCTTCTCTAACCTCACTTCTTACCTACCTCCACCCCCACCCCCCTACATACACACACACACACACACCCTGCCTCATAATGCATAATTCACTGGTTTGCGTCATGTTCCGCGGAGAGGGGGAGATAACACATTGAATGGGATCATAAAATATTAAAATCTAATCAAAGTTATTTCCTCTTGAATTGATGAGAAGCACGAAAGTTGGCATCCAAAAAGTCCACTTGCCAAGAATTTTTCTCCGCTCTGTAAAGAAGAACATTGAAATAAAATAAGCTGAAGCTATCGTTGTTATACACTTAAATTAAGGCAAATATAACCATATTTTGATTGATATATAATTTAGCGCTAAGGTTGACTCTAACCATCTTTTAATATAGATAAAAGCATAATTTTGGGCTAAATTTAAAACACGTTTAACCCATTACTCCACTAGACATGACGTCAACTACGTTAATTGGGATGTTAATTGGGAGTTGTAAGGTTACTGGAGTTGTAAGTTTACTGGAGTTGTAAGGTTACTGGAGTTGTAAGGTTACTGGAGTTGTAAGGTTACTAGAGTTGTAAGGTTACTGGAGTTGTAAGGTTACTAGAGTTGTAAGGTTACTGGAGTTGTAAGGTTACTAGAGTTGTAAGGTTACTGGAGTTGTAAGGTTACTAGAGTTGTAAGGTTACTGGAGTTGTAAGGTTACTGTAATGTTACTGGAGTTGTAAGGATACTAGAGTTATAAGGTTACTAGAGTTGTAAGGTTACTGGAGTTGTAAGGTTACTGTAAGGTTACTAGAGTTGTAAGGTTACTGGAGTTGTAAGGTTACTGGAGTTGTAAGGTTACTGGAGTTGTAAGGTTACTGGAGTTGTAAGGTTACTGGAGTTGTAAGGTTACTAGAGTTGTAAGGTTACTGGAGTTGTAAGGTTACTAGAGTTGTAAGGTTACTAGAGTTGTAAGGTTACTGGAGTTGTAAGGTTACTGTAAGGTTACTGGAGTTGTAAGGTTACTGGAGTTGTAAGGTTACTGTAAGGTTACTGGAGTTGTAAGGTTACTAGAGTTGTAAGGTTACTGGAGTTGTAAGGTTACTGTAAGGTTACTGGAGTTGTAAGGTTACTAGAGTTGTAAGGTTACTGGATTTGTAATGTTACTGGAGTTGTAAGGTTACTGGAGTTGTAATGTTACTGTAAGGTTACTGGAGTTGTAAGGTTACTGGAGTTGTAAGGTTACTGTAAGGTTACTAGAGTTGTAAGGTTACTGGAGTTGTAAGGTTACTGGAGTTGTAAGGTTACTGGAGTTGTAAGGTTACTGGAGTTGTAAGGTTACTGGAGTTGTAAGGTTACTAGAGTTGTAAGGTTACTGGAGTTGTAAGGTTACTGGAGTTGTAAGGTTACTAGAGTTGTAAGGTTACTGGAGTTGTAAGGTTACTGGAGTTGTAAGGTTACTGGAGTTGTAAGGTTACTGGAGTTGTAAGGTTACTGTAAGTTTACTGGAGTTGTAAGGTTACTAGAGTTGTAAGGTTACTGCAGTTGTAAGGTTACTGGAGTTGTAAGGTTACTGGAGTTGTAATGTTACTGTAGGTTATTAGAGTTGTAAGGTTACTGGAGTTGTAAGGTTACTGGAGTTGTACGGTTACTGGAGTTGTAAGGTTACTGGAGTTGTAATGTTACTGTAAGGTTACTGGAGTTGTAAGGTTACTGGAGTTGTAATGTTACTAGAGTTGTAAGGTTACTGGAGTTGTAAGGTTACTGGAGTTGTAAGGTTTCTGGAGTTGTAAGGTTACTGGAGTTGTAAGGTTACTGTAAGGTTACTGGAGTTGTAAGGTTACTGGAGTTGTAAGGTTACTGTAAGGTTACTGGAGTTGTAAGGTTACTGGAGTTGTAAGGTTACTGGAGTTGTAAGGTTAATGGAGTTGTAAGGTTACTGGAGTTGTAAGGTTACTGGAGTTGTAAGGTTACTGGAGTTGTAAGGTTACTGTAAGGTTACTGGAGTTGTAAGGTTACTGGAGTTGTAATGTTACTAGAGTTGTAAGGTTACTGGAGTTGTAAGGTTACTGGAGTTATAAGGTACTGGAGTTGTAAGGTTACTGGAGTTGTAAGGTTACTGGAGTTGTAAGGTTACTGTAAGGTTACTGGAGTTGTAAGGTTACTGGAGTTGTAAGGTTACTGGAGTTGTAAGGTTACTGGAGTTGTAAGGTTACTGGAGTTGTAAGGGTTACTGGAGTTGTAAGGTTACTGGAGTTGTAAGGTTACTGGAGTTGTAAGGTTACTGGAGTTGTAAGGTTACTGTAAGGTTACTGGAGTTGTAAGGTTACTGGAGTTGTAAGGTTACTGGAGTTGTAAGGTTACTGTAAGGTTACTGGAGTTGTAAGGTTACTGGAGTTGTAATGTTACTAGAGTTGTAAGGTTACTGGAGTTGTAAGGTTACTGGAGTTGTAAGGTTACTGGAGTTGTAAGGTTACTGGAGTTGTAAGGTTACTGGAGTTGTAAGGTTACTGGAGTTGTAAGGTTACTGGAGTTGTAAGGTTACTGGAGTTGTAAGGTTACTGGAGTTGTAAGGTTACTGGAGTTGTAAGGTTACTGGAGTTGTAAGGTTACTGGAGTTGTAAGGTTACTGGAGATGTAAGGTTACTGGAGTTGTAAGGTTACTGGAGTTGTAAGGTTACTTGAGTTGTAAGGTGTAATAGATTGACGATAGAAGCATGTGATTGTATATAAAACGTTTATTGGCCTCAACTAACATGATGGTAACGAGAGAGGGCGGAAGTAACGAGACACAAACATATAAGGGACATCACTCAAGATAACAGTATAAATATAATACTAATACAAGAAGATTGAGTTCCCTTGACTTCACAATTCTCACTATATCAGGGGTCGGCAACCTTTTGAAGCGGAAGAGCCAAAATTTACAATTTTCAAAATTTCCCTGGTTTTAAAGAGCCACTAACATTTTTTTATTTCAAATATTTTTTTTTATTAAGATTATTAGTATTTGTTCAAGGAGCTGGAGAGCCGCATCTTGATATCAAAAGAGCCGCATGCGGCTCGCGAGCCGCAGGTTGCCGACCCCTGGTATTACATAAGGTTACTGTAAGGTTATTAGAGTTGTAAGGTTACTGGAGTTGTAAGGTTACTGGAGTTGTAAGGTTACTGGAGTTGTAAGGTTATTTGAGTTGTAAGGTAGTGTTTCTTTCAGACATTTTTTATCCGAGAGGGTGGGACTTATGAATTATATTTTCCATTAAGCGCGGAGTGAGGGGGGTTGTGGACTTGTATAAATATATATACAAGTTCTATTTCTTTCATCCGGGGCCTGCTTCAGTGAATTATAAGGAAAAAAACTAAAATATTAAACAAAATACACAAATTATCATGAGAAATTGGATGAAAATTACTAAAATTTATTTTTATAGACATATTATATATATATATTTATATATATATATATATATATATATATATATATATATATATATAAGTTCAATTCTGTGGCCGGCGGGCAAACCGAAGATTCCAAAGTCTAAAGTCTAAAGTGCTCAACGTCTAAATTTATGAATTACAAAATTAATTTTGAAGGTGTTTTGAAACAACTTTCATTTTTTAAACTTATGATTATAATTGTTTGCATGTCCATCAAACAATTTTTTAAAACTGTATCACATTTCACAAAAGATAATTATTTACATTTAGTTCTTTAGCACTCCTTACGTCCCTTAATAATTTAGGAAAACACAATTACTTCCCTTTATTAAAAAAAACATTACATTGGGAGAAAAAATGTACCTTTTATTACTTTGTTTTGGTGTTGGGAAAAAAAATTACATAATTAGCGTGGATTGATCATGTGAAACGTGGTAGGTATTTTAAATACTGCCTTTTATTTATTTTATACACTGAACGTACAGTTTTCTTACTATAATTTATAATCAAAGACAATTGAAGTAACAAAATACATCTTTATTCCCGCAGGTTATTATTTGTCTTTTTTGTGCGCACGAAGTGGAATTCGTTGTTTGTCTGTTGCACTAAACATGATAAACGTCGTCTAAACCTATTCCTAACCCTAAACCTAAACCTAAACCTAAACCTATTCCTAACCCTAAAACATAGTCTGTACCCTTTTTTAAGCAGACATTTTTAACAGTACATTCAGCAGTATAAAGTTTGACTACCGAAGAAACAATTACATAAGAAAGGTTACTATAAGAAAGGTTACTGTAAGAAAGGTTACTGTAAGAAAGGTTACTGTAAGAAAGGTTACTGTAAGAAAGGTTACTGTAAGAAAGGTTACTGTAAGAAAGGTTACTATAAGAAAGGTTACTGTAAGAAAGGTTACTGTAAGAAAGGTTACTATAAGAAAGGTTACTGTAAGAAAGGTTACTATAAGAAAGGTTACTATAAGAAAGGTTACTATAAGAAAGGTTACTGTAAGAAAGGTTACTGTAAGAAAGTTTACGGTAAGAAAGGTTACTGTAAGAAAGGTTACTGTAAGAAAGGTTACTGTAAGAAAGGTTACTGTAAGAAAGGTTACTATAGTCTTTAGGTGAATCAAATCCGGCCGTCCTCCAACGCCAGATAGGGTTAACCCTGGGGTTAGGGGCGCCTAGAGCTTTTCCGTGTTCGCTTTTGCGCCTAAGTTCGTTTAAGTGAGTGCAAAAGTCTATA